TCCTTTTTCCATATATTCTCCTAGAGAGAGTGGAGATGTATGGTAAGTAGAGGTCCTTTTGCTTTATACACCTCGGCTGGGATTCCATCAGGCCCTGATGCTTTGCTATTTTTCATCTGTTTGATGGCAGTAGCTGCCTCATCCAGGAATGGAGGACTGCTGTAGTGGGTCAGCTCTGGATGCTGAGGGACCTGCTGGGTTGTCAGGACATCCAGATCGGTGTTTCAGTTGAGCAGCTAAAGGTAGTGCTCTTTTCAGCACTGAAGGATGCCTTCTTCGTCTTTAATTTGGAATTTACGTCGGATGAGCAGAAGGGGGCTGCGCCATAAGTGATTGGTCCATTAAATGTTTTAGTGAAATTGAAAATTTCGTATGCACACACACACAACACACTAAGAAGCAGAGTTGGTGCTATTACATGTATAAGAAGTGAAGGTCAGTCTCCAGTTGGCGAGGCTGGCAGCAGGGGGACTTAAGGTACGTATATTAAAAAAACAAAAAGTTTGTACCCCAAAAAACTGTTCAGTTGACCTTTAATGTGAAGAGTGTTTATATTAACATATTTCCCACGTAGAACATGTATTTATTCTTTAGTGGTTGTTTGTTTCTATGATATATTAGAGCATGGAGGATTTTTCCTCCTGGGTTTCTCTTATTGTGTCCTAAGGTTGTTGATACTACAGGTACTGCATTTATAATGGCGGTTGTCGTCTCCGGTTACTGCGTCATAGTGACGCAATGTGTCACTTCCCTGATGTTTCAGATTCGTTTATTTCATATTGTTGAGGGAGAGAGCGAGGGTGGCTTCTATGTTGTGAAGAGTTCACGTGGAGAACAAGAGGTCGTAGGTTACACTTTGTGACGAGTGATACAGCTCAGTAACAGGTACACCATCATAGAGGGAGCCTAGTGATGTTACTCGCCATGCCATTACAATAGTACCAGAAGTGCTTGACAACCGTTATTACTATATATAAATGATATAAAGGAGGTGTACATAATACTTATAACTTCCATCAATTCAGTTCATCTTGTTTCAAATATCATTAGTCTTTTTTGGCAAGCGGATGTGATCCCTAAATATATATATATATATATATAACTTCAGGGTTGTCTATTTATCGACTTATCCAATCCATCCATCATCTCTATCATTATTCTGAGAATTTCATCCCATCATTTTTTGCGTTGTTAGACTTTTTGTTACTAACCTTGTTATGGGCTTAAAAACCTTCAAGTTATTGATTGGTTGATTTGTGGAATTTAGGCTCAAAGCCAAGCACGGGAGCCAATAGGCCTTTCAACGCTGTGACCTTCGTTGTTGAAGTGCAGTAATAACATTATAACAACAACAATCTATCATATATATCTATACAGTATACCTATACATTCCTCCATACAAATGTTTGCGGACGATGCCAAGTTATTTAGGAAATTAAGAACCAAGAAGGCGAGAAGAGCTGCAGAAGGATCTCTGTGAGCTCCAAGAATGGTCAAATAAATGGCTGCTAAGATTCAATGTCACGAAGTGCTAAGAGGATGCACCAACGGTAAGGAGGCGTATCATATGCCCCAACGACGAAGAAACTGCATTAATTGAGACTGAATGTGAAAAGGACCTGGTGTGTATGTTGACAATGAAACAGAAGTTCTCGGCCATTGTGAGAAGAAGGTGAATCAAGCAACTAAATTAGTAGGTCTACTCTTATAAGAAGGTCGTAATGATCTTAAAGAGTGAGAATCTCCATCTGAGTACTGTCACCCTCTGGTCCCCGAGATATGCCAGGGACTGTCAGTTGATTGAAAATGTCCAAAGGACTGGTGCCTGCACTTCGGCACCTCAGCCACCCATAGAGATTAGAGCCTGAAACACCAGCTTATACTATAGGCGACAGCAGGACCTAATTGAGGTGTATAGACACCCCAAGGGCACTACTCAGTCGAGTGGCCTTACCTGAGCTCGGACGCTCCCCCACAAGAAGCCGCAAGTCTAGAAAACTGTGAGAGCAAACTTTATCGGAGGGAGAGTTGTGAACCCGTGAAACAACCCTAGGAGAGTGTTGTGACGGCACCGAGTGTGAGTTTTCAAGACCAGACTTGACCAGTACTGGTGCAGGTTCAGGTACATTCAGGAGCCAGTCCATGCCCAGTACTTTTCAACAGTGCGTAATAGATATGACCGATCGCCCACGGCTAACGAGCCGATCAGTGGTGAAGAGGATAAAAGTAAAAAAGTAAATCAGTTTCGTTAAATCAGCTACCCATATTGAATTATTTCGTCAAAATCTAGCAACTGACAAGTTAATTATTTAAAACAAAATTGTGACAAGGTTAAATATTTTTCTAACATTGTGAGAAAATCAAGGTAAGTTTATAGCTGGCATTAGTAAAACAAGTCAGATATTAAGTCAATTACCTGGCAGAAGAATGTTGACATTGCGAGAACACCGGTGAGTCACTCAAGACCAGACTTGACCAACACTGGCGAAGGCACAAATACATTCAGAAGCCAGTACTGCCAGTAATGCTTACAGAGACGTGACTGTCCGCCTAAGAGGCTAAAGAGCCAATCAGTGGCGAAGAGGATAAAAAGTATAGTGTACGAGTTGGCCGCCAGGAGATACGACGAGAAAAATGGAAGATACAGAACGGCTTTGTTTTCAAGGAGACTGAGCTGTGATGTAGTTTAATCCCTTCAGCTTATTTCAACGATGATTAATCATTTTAACTCAGGTTAGATGAAATAAACTGGCGAGAATAATCTTCAGGTGATCCAGAAAGAGCATTCAAGCCAGCACCTCCGATATTTTGCTTCGAGGTAATAAAAGGTCGCCAACAAAACTAAACTAGATACAAAGAAGTTTTTTCTCTTGATAAACACGAGGTTTTAACAGTGATTAATCAATAATAAATATACACCAGTGAAACTTAATTACTCACATAAATATAAAAATCAGACGTCATATATGGCGGAAATACATGTGTACAAACAATAATCTTATGTACCTGTATATATAATTTTACACAATCACCGTCATAATTAAACTGCTGTACTGTACTGTATTATGGAAATTAAGCGAGCGTCATAGTGCAGTTGCATCAAAGTCAAAGTTATCTTGAATTTACTGCACAAGACTTATGATTAATTATTTTTATTATTGTTAGCAGGTAGAATAGTAATAGTAGTAGTAGTAGTGGTAGTAATAGAATATTATTTTACTATAGTTGGATATATCTGTGTTAGATATATGATATGGAATTTAACTGTTAAAAAAATATTACATACACACACAATTGCCTCGTTTCATGGATTTATCAACATCCTGCCTAAGTCAGGTATAGTGTCAAAGATTTCGATGATCAACCCAATAAATCATATACATAGATGACAATTTCAACTAGAGATACTGTTAAATGAAGTGACATTCAGTGCTCGAAGTACATTCCCCACGAGGACCCCTGACACACCCAGGGACCACTGCACACCAGCCACCACCAACATTGAAGATGAAGCCAAGAAAGACTCCAACCATATCAGGAGAGCAGTGACTGTTTACATATTCAGCTCCCACAGTAACACCAGCTCTGATAACTAATCTATATGTTGACTTGCTTATTTATTCGAGGACCAGTGGTGCACGGTCAGCATCCTGGACTCTGCAAATGATGGGACTCTGATTTCGATCTCGGCAGGTGACGCGGCAACTAGGGTGTTTCTTTTTATGCCATCTGCCTCGTCACTTGCAGTACTGTGTTCTGGATGTTAATTGACATGCGGATCGTATTCCGCATGGTTAGCCAGTGCAGTTAAGCAGCTGTCCAGTCTTCTAATTATTCGGAAATGACTGTCTGCAGTCACACCCAGTGGTTGATGTTGGCGACAGCTTCTACACCTGAACAAATTGTTTGAAGGCCCCTTGGGCCATCCTTGTTATTTATTCCCCAGCGATTATTATCTCCTGTACATAAACTCGTCAATCAACCCACCCGATTTCACATACTGTATATAACTTATCATCTCTGTCATTTTATATCAGCCTTCTAGCCGCTATGTTATCTTAATAAACCTTAATATTATTATTATTATTACACTGCTACTACAACTACCTTACCA